CTCCTATGCTACATCCTGGCCCAGGGCCAAGGGAGAAACCACACCGGAGAGGCGTAAATCAGTACCCACCACCTCCCTGGCTTGGCCAGGAAGAGAAGCAGCAGCAACAAGAAGCTGACATGAAAGCTTCATGTGTCTGGGGGCCTGCGCCCTGGCAGCCGAGGCCAGGCCAGCCTGAGTCCAGGAAACGAGGCATGGCTCAGCGCAAGCCCTCGACAGCTATGACCGAGTGAGTTACAGACCAAGGCGTGGGAGGACAAGGCAGACGGGGATTTCTAAGGCCGATGGCACTCAGGAGAAAAGGAAGACGATGTTTATGACATTCTTAGTGCCAAGCATGGGAGCTTGTCTATATCACACAGTTCTTGCTTACAACAGCCCTAGGGGGTGGTAATCTCGTTATTCCCATGTTACAGATGAGGAAGCTGAAGCACAAGGAGGTTAAGCAACATACTCAAGATCAAACAGCAGACAAGTGGCAGGGCAGGTACTGGAACTCAGTTCTGTGGGACACCGAGGCCCATGGTGTTCAGATGTCCTTCCGATGGGAATGTTTGAGGGGAAAACATGGGTGGCAGGAAGTGACCTCCACCCTCACCTGCAACTAAAATAGAGGGGGGCCAAGCCATCATTGTGTACAGCTCCTGCTATTAGTTACTTGATAGTTTCCTATAAATCAGCTCTCCCTTTTAAAAATGTCAATAAACTTATTTAAAAAGGAACCTGTTATCATAGCTGATTGAAAAGCAAGTATCAGATGCCACGACTGTCACATAAAAGTAAATGCAGTGAGAACCTAGCAGCAGCATTAATAGTGGCTGAACTTTCTGGGGGAAAGCTCTAAGACTGAAGCCTCCTCTCTCTGTCAAAAAGAAGAATTAGTAAATCTGGCAGCTCCTTGACCGGTCAGGGCTGGGAGGGAGCTGACTCACAGTGACTGTCTCACTGTGGGGCTCAGTCATGTAACTGTGTTGCTGAGGTACCACCGAAAATCCCAATGTCCTGGCCTCTGGGAAACAGACATGGCCCAGAGCCTTCCTTTACAGATGAGGAACAGGGCCCAGAAATAACTTCCCTTCACTGTACACTGAGCATCGGGGCCCGACGGGTGAAGGGACCAGCCCAGCACATAGCCAGGGCAGAAGCTGGAACTCTAGGTCCCCAGGGTTGCTGTTGGCCTAGCCATCCTCCCCATCTCGCACCCTAGGGCCTGGGTCTCCACCCGTCTGAGTCCCAAGAGGTGGTGCAGAACCTCTGCAGTGCCCACTCACCTCTGTGGGGTCATCCTCATTTGAAATGTTGACCAGGTAGAAGAGTTTGGAGTACAGGAAACTGTCAGAAGGGTATGGGTTGCTCCAAGTCAGCTGCCACATGTGGGAGACGTCGCTGTGAACTGTGAGGTTTTCAGGGGCTCTGGGTTTCACTGCAGAGAAGCAGAATCTGGTGAGGGCTTTTCTGGCCCGCAGATCATGGGCTCTTGAGATTTTTAGTCAACATCACCTCCGTACACATTTGTAACATACCACGTAGAGTCAGACTCATACCGAGAATCATAATACTCATTCTAATGTTGCTACAATTCTACTTAGCGCTAGGGGTTATTAACTACCTTTCTACAATGAATGCAAAATGTATAAGACAAAGTAAGCCAAACTTCGGCTGTTTCACTTTTGTCCTTCACACTCTGGGCCACATCTGTGTACTATATTACTCACAGAGTATTTTGCTTCTTTTTTTGATTTATGTGTTTAAAAAATCAGTCTCTTTTCAAGCAATCATATCACTGAGATCACAAGGATAGAAAATGCATTAAAATCAATATATACATGTAAGAATTATTTTAATTCATGAGTGTGTTCATGGTTCAATTTCCATAACCCCCCGATGACCAGCAGGAAGAGTAAGCCCTTCAGAAACTGCTGATGGAGTGGTGAAGGCTGTGAGCTCTGTGAGAGACCCGTGACAGACAACCTCTGCTGTTTAGCAACTGTGTGACCATAGGCAGGTTACTTGCCTGCTCTGTACTACAGTTTATTCAATTGAAAAAAGGGGATAATAACTCTCTTATGGAAACTGAGGCTCAGAGAGGTAATGTGACTTGCCCAAGGTCACACAGCAATAAACGATGTTTTAAACTCCTGTCATTACACCCCAGTCAGCTCATGGGGAATGCCTGCGGGGACTCTGGGTGTACCAGGATAAGGTCGGCCTTCCAAAGTCTAGACTGTCTGAAGAAGTGCAGCTGAGCAGTCCACAGAGGCAGCAAGGATGGTTCCCTGGTTAAGTCTTTGATCTGCAGCAAGCATGTCTCCCATCAAACATGGCTGAACTCGACACCCCAATTGGGGCACTTAAATTCAGGATGGGGAATGCCTGCGGGGACTCTGGGTGTACCAGGATAAGGTCGGCCTTCCAAAGTCTAGACTGTCTGAAGAAGTGCAGCTGAGCAGTCCACAGAGGCAGCAAGGATGGTTCCCTGGTTAAGTCTTTGATCTGCAGCAAGCATGTCTCCCATCAAACATGGCTGAACTCGACACCCCAATTGGGGCACTTAAATTCAGGGGTTTGAAATATCTGAGTTGAAGGGGGCCTGATGTACTGATGAACCCAACCCCATTTCAAAGATGGAAGGACAGACCCAGAA